CCCCCCACCTCTCTTAAAGTCCGGGATCCGCCACTGCCCTGGTTAAAGCAGAATCATGAATATGTCTTTCTTTTCAATTCCTTTTTTTAAAATAGAATTCGCAAAATCGATGCGTTGATAAGCCTGGTTCCAGAAAAAATAGATGCTCGTATCTCACTCTTAGAAGAACGAATCAAAAAAATTCAAGTTCATGGTCTACGCTTTGGCACCGCTGCTATAGCTTTATTGGCTTGTCTTGGAGCTTTAACTTCATGGCAAATCTTTGGAGCTAAAGCCGTGAAGATCGTGCTGGGTGGAGCAGTTGGCTTGGGCTTTGGAATACTCATATTTCTGATCATTTACCATAGTATTTTTGCTCTAGAAAACAGACATTTATCAAAATGGAAGGAATTAAAAAAACTCATTCAAGATTTTCCCAAAATGGTGTCAGACATCAAACAGAAGCGGCGAATAACTAGAGATATAGCTACTTCATTGATAGATGGTGTAGAAATAGGAATAATGGATGCATCAGAAGAAATACTTAACCAGTGTGAGGAATTCCTTGATGATCATTAGCATCTCAAAGGCTTTTACGATAGACATTTTTACTACAGGTGAAGTTGCGTAAAGCCTGATTTTCACAAGCGACACAAGCACAAGCGCAATCACAAGCGCAAGCATAAGAGGCCTTATTTCATCGTGAAAACTGTTCAACGCAAGCATAAGCACAGGCGCAAGCACAAGCACAAGGATCAAAATTTTGGAATGGACATTTTTACTCTATCCCGCGCGCGGGGATCGTGAGGGTTATTGATTGACTTGCAAAAGTACTGAATCAGTGTCAGTAATAACCTTTATTTATTGGACCAATTATTTTATTATAGCGCATTATTGGGTATTAAGGTTGGTCAGAAAGTGATTTGCCGAACTTACAGAAAAGGTTGGTTTTTTTTGCGCCTCACCCGCACAAGCACTTATCTGCTCTACGTTTTTTATATTGGAGATTAGCTTTTAAAGAAACTCTAACTATACGATCAGGAAGCCAGAAGCCGAGCCTCTTGAGTGATAAGTAAGCTCCTTTAGTTGAAATACGATCGTGTTTGTTGGCGATTAAAGACGTTTCACTGCCAAGTGTTGGGAAACCCTTTGAGTGCCGCGGAAGCCACTCTAGTGCCAAAAAGGAAACCATTGAATGGTAAATATGGTTATAACAGATCTAGATATGGAATCAATGAAAAATGAAGAAATAAATGCAAGTGATTATGAATCKAGTAATGTAATCTTTATATTGTGGAATATGGACTATGAACTGAACTTCAGTGGAAAGAATAAAATCTGAAAAAAGAAATACAATGGACAATATTTTCCTTCATCTTTCATCGTGCTGTTGAATTTTCTCTTTTCTTGATTTTCTTACTTTCTCTTATTTTTTCTTTTCTTTTTTCTTTTCTTTTCTTTTCTTTTTTCTTTACTCCGCTTCGCATTATTTTGCACAGTATTGACGTTGGGTTTCCTGTATGTATGATGTCGGTGTATACCTGGTATCTAGTAGTAATCTGCTTGCAAGTCGAGAAGGCGAGTCGAGGATTTGTCGCTATTTCAACAATTTTTGCTACGGAAATCTGTCTTATTACCAACCAAATAACCAGACAAAGGAAAGCTTGTGCTAAAGATAGTTTAGTTGATCGATTTTTTGTTCAGTCTTAAGCGTGAAGCGGTTTTTCCAGCCGTCTTTTGCTGGGGTAAAGGATGAGCTCAATGATGACAGCGGAAAGGAACGACACATCGGCCATCAGCGGTAAATATCATCTACCCTTCCAAATATCTATTTTCTAATCACTATTATGCTATTCATTTAATAATGTTGTGATGCTGTGTGTCTTCGGTACAAGGTAAGGTATGGGATAAAACAACTTTAGCCGTCACCTCTCTATTCCCGTAAATATTTTTATTCAAAATCAATAGTAACAACGATCTCTTATTTTTTTGATTTTGCCGAAAAAAGTCCAGTGCATTGTCTTGCAATCCGAATTTCATGTCAAAATCTGTCATTACTAGAATATATTCAGATTACGTTAATTAATATTATAACAAACACATATTCATGTGTAAATGTTGACAATACTCCCACCCCTGCCACCAGGCATAATTTTGGGTTTATTAACAGACATTTCTACAAAACTTGTAATCTGAGAACACTCTAATGCAGAATAGCTGATTGTAATCTTACAAATTATTTCCTTAATTCTTTCTATTCAAATAATAGAATAATTAAGATAGATTTTTCCTTGGTATTGTTTTAGCGATCACGCATGCCTGGGCGCATTCCTCATACTTTGAACATCTTGTTTGCATTCATCATAAGTTTTGAAACAAGTACAAATCAAAGAAGAAAGGGCTTATTATGTGCAATAAAGAGAAAATATTATATATAAAGTGTGTTATTTTTGTGGCTTAATATTGTTATTGTCAAAATTAATACTTAAAATACTTGTGGTATTTATTATTCACACAATAATATAATCTATTTTAATAAGAAGATTTCTCTTATTGCATTTCGTATTTCATAATCCCTTCACTACAACTATGGCTCCTCTTCAAGACTCATTAATTTTTTGATTTTTTTTGACAGTTACAGAGCTCAGATTTCATTTTCAACTATATAGTATGAAACTATGTCATAGTTACTAACCTATTAAAGCTGTCAAGTCTGAAATATATTTTTAAACTTACTTGAACCTGCTCCAGATATTCAACTACAACATATATATATTCATGTGGCTCATGTATTTTTGATCAAATGGGGAGTGGCTGTCATAAATATGTCATTTTCTAAGAGTGATTGTTACAAATGTACCTAATAATTTTACACAATTTGAACAAAAATGTAAAAAATTAAAGGTGTATTAAAAGCATTTTGGTGTCATGTGTCTTTAAGAACCTCAAATTATTGAAAATTATTTTTTTGATGTTTAAAATATGAGTAAGATTTCTGAAAAATAGAATTAGAATCAAGCAGTTGTTTTTTTGGGGGGGGGGGGGGGGTGGAGTGAGGGAAATCAGAACTAGAAGGAAAACACTTAGAGAATCAAACATCAATAAAACACCCAAGTAATACATGTTTTTAATATCGTAGGTCTAACTGCCAAAGAACAAGCTCTGCTCAATGATATTAGACAAAGAAAGTCCCAATTATTGGTAGAAATTGAGGTGAGTAGTAGATATTATCAGGAGTGTAAAAACTATTATTATCTCAATTCTCCTATAAGTTTGATTGGAAGAAAACTGCCAATATTGTTGGCTCAGAATTGTCCTTTTGTTTAAACAGAAGAGACAATAATGTGTTTAATGTTTATTGTTCATGATTATTACAAGGTGTTTATGGTGTTGTTATGGTATCAGCTGTGTTACTGAGTAACACTTGACCAACAGTCTGTGTGACAATGGATCAGTAGATTAATTGTGGTAGATTATATCTGCTATTTGAGGTCATTTAATCATACCACACAGGGGTACAGATGTTTGGGTGCTAAATGATTTGTAATGTAGGTGCATTGAATTCTTGATCTTAGTTGATTGGATAGAAATGTGTTTCCTTCTGTTTGCAGACAATTATTTATTGTGTTGATTAGTTGAAAAATCACATTAAGTTTTCCTTTGCAGTTGTTAGGAATACAAATTCCTTTCATGATATATTTACAAAATTGAAAAACTTTTACCTATAAAGTATAGGTAAAATCTCTTACTCAAAAACAGGATTATATTATGATATTTTATGAAAAAGTACAAAGACCTATTTATTACCATAATAATATTCACAATAGACTTGTTATGTTGAATAACACAATTTCATAATTTAACCTCCTACAGCACTAGTATTGGTCTGTTCCTGGTCTCATTTTGCACTTCTGAAACGATTGTATTTGTTATATTTTCTTTCCAAGAGTTATCTTTTGATTTCCTATTTTGTCCTAGTGTTGTGTAACTATTTAAGGGTACTTGCTTTTGCTTCCTTCCCTTCATTTCCTCTCACCTACTCCACTTCACCCTGTTTCCTTCCCTTCATTTTATTCAAACTATTGTATAGGTATGTTAAGTATTATCTATCTATTTCAGCTTAGGGGACATTTGCATTTTGACTACCTGTCTATTTTCTTCTCTCTCCACCCCTGTGACTTGCTTTGCTCCTCTCCCCACCCTCCCCTCCAGAGGATATACAAGCCACACAAGTAAAACCCAATGTATCCATTTAACTTTGTTTTTTAGAGAGGCTGTACCTTAAATTCGTATAGCATTATTAAGAGTATAATAATTTTAGGCATGTTACACACCCTCTGTCCCCNCCCCCTCACCCCCTCCCCCCATCCTATAATATATCCTGTCCATCAAGACAATAATTTTCATTATTCATGCTGAAAGATTAAAGCTGTGGAAGTCTTAGCAGAAAGATATGTCATGACTTGCTTTAGGTGTTTGTCAATATAATTAACCCATGAAGACTGACTTCATTTACTCAAGTATGGCTTGTTCAATGATAGATGATCTTGATGAAGAGCAGTACTTAGAAAATGTATGTGTTATTTAGTCCCTATTCCGTATTATCATAATTATGATTCACTGCCAAAAATAGAGATGAAGATCTTAAACCTTTCTGATATGATACTAGTATTAGACTAGACACAATCTTTGTTTCCTGTTCTTAGTTGTTTGGCATAACTTTGTTTTTTCATCTTGTAAAAGGATCATTTATTAAGTCATTTGGTTAGAGGTCTTTTAATAATATACAGTACTATTATAGTTGAAAATAAGCTATAGTTATGGTGATCATCTTTACTAGTTGTTGTTGAAGATGATGGTTTATTTTCACAATGCTAACAGCATTGTGTTGTTAAAGTTCATTGTCACAAACTCCTCACTATACAACATGCAAGAAATCAGAGTAATAACCACTATATGCATATGATGTAGTCTATGTTAGGTCTTTGTTAGAGGGAATATAAAGTGCTTTTTATCTGTAGTATTTTATTTGTCTTTACTTCAGTAAATTGGTCTCACTATTATTGTTTCTCTGCCTGTATTTCGTTTAAGGCCAAGACAAATAAATRATTAAATAAATATTAACTATTAGTTGGTCTTTTTCTAAACTCTCAGCTAATGTGAATTGAGTCTTGTATTGATGAGTGAAAAAACATTTATTATCAATTATTATATTTAGAATAATTATTTTATATTAATTATTCTAAATATAGTTCTTTTTATCTATTTTTAATGTTGTCTTAATGTTTTTTTCTTATTTCAGCAACTGAAGGCAGATATTGCCCAAGTGACAGATGAACTGGATTCCTTAGATCAGCAGGACTTAATTGGGTAAACATTCAATATTGTCTAAACACCTCAATATTAAGATTATTGGAAAAAGCTTGCATATTTATATCATGAAATAAAACGGATGGCGATGATCCATTGGCACATAATATACATTGCACATTATAGTATCTGTGATATTATTATAGTCTCTTATTGTTATGATCTAATCTATATTGCATGCAAATAGATATATTTGTATATCAAGTCATTATCAAACCCATAATAACTATGTAGCATTAAAATAACAGTTGTTTGTTGCAACCACAAAATGATAATCTAATTCCTTCATCTATTATTATCAGAGTTGTATTTCATGTTTTTGTCACACATTTGCATACAATTTATTTGCTTATCACCCGATGGAAATTTATACATTTTTATGGGTCTTGGAAGTGTGTCATTGTGAGTATGGCTTGTTAATTTTTTTGYAGTTCCAAAGAAGACATGAAAATAAAGCAGAAAACTATTGGAAGAAAGAAATTCAACTTACATCCTGAAAAAGTAAGTTTGAAAAAGGAAGCTCACATATATACATCATTTGGCACAAGCAGCTGAATGATTTCACAAATCAGCATTTATGAAAATGAGAAAATATTCTGATTTACAAAACAAACAAAACTTTTTTTGCTGGTATTCTAAATTTTAATTACTGCTAAGTTATATTGCATCCATTTTCAGTCTTTTTTACATATGAATGGTTTTACTCTAAACTATAGATATAATATCTAAAAACAGAACTGTTGTATTTGCCATGACCATCTAAAATGTTGCAAATTCTCCAGTGAGTATTGATACAGTTTCTATACGTAGCTTGAAAAACTAATGCTGAATAAAAAACTATGCAGTTAACTTTCTTTTTTCTGTAGATAGAATTTAAAGAACATTGTAATGTTTTTGTTTTTATAGGGCATAGAATATCTTGTATCAAATGGATTACTGAATAAAGTACCAGAAGATGTTGCAGACTTTCTGTATTCTGGAGAAGGTCTAAACAAGACACAAATTGGAAATTATCTTGGAGAAAAGTGAGTATTATTTGATATGTGTCAGAGAGTATAACATTCTAATGGAGCCATGGTATCAACCATTGATATAATGTTGCCAGTATCATACCATTGTCAGAATCTTCCATTGTCCTTCTGACACAATTTGGGGTCACATTCATTGCTATTGCTCAGGGTCTAGGCATGTCCCTCCATGCCAGGAAAAGTAAAAAATGTTTTTGTAGGTTAGGATCATTTCTCTTCAAAGAATGCTTCCTCGACCACAACAAAACTTTGATAAAGATCCTAGCTTTTGGATTAATTAGTCCATCCTCAGGGAATAATGGGACGGAGGAATAGTAAATGGAATTAAAAATTGATTAAATAGTTAATTTTACTTTAATTTTGTTTGTGTTTGATCTTAATGACTAATATATTACTGTTTCAACTTACAGCAAAGAATTCAACTTAGAAGTATTTGATAAATTTGTGGTACTGCACAARTTTGAAGGGAAGCTTCTTGTAAACGCTCTTAGGTAAGTATAAGGCAGTCATCATCATCACCGTCATCATCAGTCATCAACACTGAACTAAATCTACAAGCATCTGCAAAGGATCCAATCATATTTCTTTACAAAAAATGTCTTTTATAATCAGTTTTATCATCATTTTATTTTATATCTTTTTGGCGTTGTTCATGTTGTAAAATTACTAAGAGTAATATTTAGATAGCCCTCACACACATTAATGAAATAAAATCCATAGATTCATGTCTTTTTATTTCTTAATTAGGGAGTTTTTGTGGAGTTTTCGACTTCCAGGTGAGGCTCAAAAGATTGACAGAATGATGGAAGGATTTGCCAAACAATACTGTAAAGACAACCCAGGGTTATTCACCTCTACAGGTAAGATACATAGTGCTATAGTGTATACATGTATACTCCAGGACAATGACTGTCATTTGTGTTTTCATCCAAGCCCTGTAAAGGTCGTAAACCATTTATAAATTTAATTGCAAAGGCAGCACTTTCTCCTCAGTTATTTTAAGACCATGAACGATGGCTGTTCTTCTACACGACAGACTAATTTTCAATAAAATGAGCTATAACCAGGAGAGAAAAGAGAGAAAAGGTTTTACTGATATCCTTGTCAATGCACTAACATTGGTGAACTGTCCTTATTCCATTTCATTTTTTAAAATGTGGTCAAAAACGTTATGCATTCCTATACCCCTTTCCTATCCCACCCACCTTCTTCTGCTGCACCTAAGAATATATAGAGATTATCACATGTTAAGAACTTGATATTGTTTTTATTCACGAGTTTTTCCATATCATATCACGAACAAGCGAGTCCTCGAGCGAGTGAGCGATATGATACGGAAAAACTCRTGAATAAAAACGATATCAAGTTCTTAACATGTAATAATTTGTTTATTACACATTTAGGCTCGATATATAACACACATAAAATGTTTTAGTGTCTTAAATATCCTTAACCGACTTACACCATTTCAAAATGTTAAAGAATTATACGTTTCCAATTCAATATCATTCAAGATATTAAAGCTTAATTAAAAATGTAAGAAGCACAAAATTCATCTTGAATTTGATAGAAATAAACACTAAATAGATATTTCTCTGGTCACTCTTGACTACTATCGTAGTCAAGTTACGGTTACAGTTTACCGTGAAGTGATATCGTATCACTTCACTGATATGGTTTTTATTCACGGCTTTATTTCACGGATATCGAGCTTAAATGTGTAATAAATGTATTTATCATTCATTAGAAATTAAATTTGTCTTTGACTTGTGAAATTTACAATTATTAAACAGACATTCACAAGTTCGAGACAACTTTAATTTATAATGGGTCATGAATCCTGACTGCAATTTTGAAATGTATACATTATATTCATTCAATAACCTGCAACCAACAACGATTTCTATTTTGATTTCTCTAGACACCTGTTACGTTTTAAGTTTTTCAATTATTCTGTTAAATACAAGTTTGCACAACCCAAGTGTTAAAGACAAGGTTAGTAATAGTAGACAGTTCCTATGCACCCTAGATTCTTAGAAAAAACATCCCTGCTAATTAAGAAATGTCAAAGAAATCAAATTGTATAAGGATATAAGATCTAAATGATCTCAACAATCTATTTATATTTCATTACAGCCAACAGTGGAAAAATTCATTCTAATGAACAAAGGCATCAACTGTGGAGCTGATTTAGACGAAGACTTCCTTGTTGTAAGTATATCTAAATATTGAAGTTTCCTTTTGTAAGACAAAAGAAGTTGGTAAACTGATGTAATGGTAAGATTGAGAGCTTAAGTACAGGGGATCCAGAAGGAAGTGACTGTCACATGTACCTAATGCCAATACCATAGGAAACCAATAAAAGCAGAAAAAGTAATTAAATTTGAGAACTACAATTACACCAAGCGCAAGTTTATCCAGATAGATCCTGAACTAGAGAAGATTGAGCACAGTCATTTATTTTTTGCTCAAGCCAACTATCTTTTAATGGTTCTCACTCTTATTTTTGAGGGTATTTCCTCTGGTTTTCCTTTTAACAACAGCTTAAATAATGACTTGTAATTTTTCTTTATTTCATGTAGACTCTATATGAAAGTATAAAGAATGAAGCTTTTAAAATCCCTGAAGATGATGGCAATGACATTACACAGACATTCTTCAACCCTGACAGAGAAGGTGTTCTTGTCAAAGAAGGTTAGAGTCTAGATTTACCTTGCTGTACCAAATCCTTGCATTCACCTGGTACTATTCACCTACATATGGGGGGTCACTCATTAACATGGTACTACACCTAGCCTATCTTACCTTGTGTACCTATTCACCTACATATGGGGGTCACTCATTAACATGGTACTACACCTAGCCTATCTTACCTTCTGTACTTATTCACCTACATATGGGGGGTCACTCATTAACATGGTACTA